TGGATTGGAGGTGGGGGGATTGTCATTTCCAGGGGTAAAAAGTAGAACTAGTGCACTGTGTTGTACAGCTGAAACTAATTCTAAAAAATGTATATTTCACAATAAAAAATATTTAAAAAAAAAACACTCCTGCCGTCCTTAGGAACGAACGGTTAGGAGCCCTGCGGGTTTTGACCCAGATCTGGGTGGAGAGATGGACTTGTGATCAACCAGCATAGATGAACCATCGCAGAGCTGAATGGGAAAAGGACAAATCTAGAAAAGAACTAACGTAAAACTGAGCGTGGAACCAGTGTCAGCTTTACACTCTCTCCCTTATTCTGAACCAGGGAACGACCACTTTTCATTTCTCGAGAGGCTCGGGGAAGACAGGCATGCAAAACGCTCTGCGCTCCAGCGGCTGTAGGGCCAGCCCCGCCCGGAGAAGGCCACTCGCCTTTCCACTTCCACTTCCCCTTAAGGTCACGACTCCTGCGGCTCTGGGAAGGTACCTGGAGCCCACGCCTCCATTACGCCCCGCAGCTCCGTGCGGCGCATTGACGTAATCACCACGCGCCCCCTTAGCCACGCCTCCACGGCGCTACGCTTTGTCGTCATTACGGCGCACCTCACGCCTTTTGGGCGTTCAAGCTCCGCGCGCGGGCCGCGCTGTAGTACCACGGTCGGAGTCCGCGCGCTCTCTGTCGCCTGTCCCTTCCGTCATGTTCCCGGCCGTCTCCTCTCCGCGGACTCCGGGACCCGGAGCCCGAAGGGGCCCGCTGGGTGGACTCGGGCCGGGCTCCACGCCCCGGGCGACAAGCAGGAAGGGTCTGTCCCTGGGGTCTGCCGTCGGCTCCCCAATGCTCTTCTCGCCGGTCGGCCGGCGTAGCTCGGTGAGCTCGCGGTAAGTGATGGTCCCCGGTTGGGTCTGGGAACCCACAGTCTCACGAGCCTCAGCGGGCCTGATGGGGCAGTGTCTCTAAAAGCCTCTGCAGCCGGAGGCGGCGAGGGGAATGCCAACGTATTGGGAAAATAGACTTTTGGCGCCCTTGCGGGCTACTTCAGCATCCGTGTATGCAATTCATCAATTGAGGCTTCGCTTTGCACTTTTCATGGAATGCTGCTTGTGTAGACGTGAAGAACAAACTGGATTTGAATCAGTTTCCTGCCTCTTACTACCCTAGTAATCTGGTGTAAGTTACTCATGACTCTTTATCTGCTAAATGACGACAGTATTTGACCTGAGCCTGCTTCACTAGTGCCAGAGAGGCAATATGAAATGCCACGGCGCAGATGTAAAGCGATGGTGGGAATGAGGACCTCCACCTCTGGAAAGTTATTATATAATGCCTGAGGTACTAACTGCTGTTACTGTCTGCAGGTGGTAATTATAAAAGGCTTTTAGCTACAGAAGCTAACTTGTAGCTAAATTAGTAGGGAATAGCCTTTCTATAAGCAGTGAGATAAGTAAGAATAGTTTTGTTACCAAATACGAGCTTGGCGCACCAGTGCACATCAGGAGTCCACACCAAGCCCACTTCTCAAACTTTAGAAGAAGGTAACATATTTCAGAGTAGTTTCCTCAGCATTCCTCTGTCAAAAATGAGTTTTCCCCTGCAGGAAAATGATAATACTGGGTCATGAACTTGTAGTCAAATTTATCTAAAAAATTTTGCTCTACTTGAGAGATAATTTTTAAAGAATATGTGTATACATGACTTTTGCGTTTTGAAAAGTGCTCTTCAAAGTGCTGATCTTGTTAGTGTTTTCTACTTTGAGAAAAGACGGGAAATAAAGTCATACTTTAGAGTGTGTGTGTGTGTGTGTGTGTGTGTGTGTGTGTGTGTGTGTGTTTAAATTTCTTAACCTTCTGGTGATCATTTAAAGAATACCTTTGTTATAATACTCTGTCAGTAAACAAAGTTCTTCACCACTCTGCATGTGCATCTCCTCATTTAGTCTTCATGGTAAAAAGATAGAATAACTTTTATTCTGGTAAGTTTACATTATTTTTCTGAATGTTAAAATGAAGGTGAGAAGGAAATATATTTTCTATTGCTGTATCTACTGTTGAAGACCAGATAATAGCAGATGCTCATGACCCATTTAATTTCTTGCTTGATTATGCAGATCTGGAAGATTCTTATAATGCTAGTGGTGGTGAGAACTTAAAGATAATCTAATCCAGTGTTTGTAAAACTTTGATCACAGTGTACGGTAAACTTTTATGTTCTATTTTGTTTTCAAAAATGTTGATTGAGTCCCTGAAAATTGGCCACAATTTGAAAATCACTGATCTTGTCCAACTTTCTTACTTCACAGTTGAGGAAGCAGAGCTATAAAGACTTTAACTGACTAGAGCATGCATCTAAAAATTGAAGTTTAAGAGTCTGAGGCCAAGTTTTCCTAAATCCTGTCAGTCTTTTTTTAGTGAAAAATATATTTAACTACATCGAATACATGAGCCAGAGTTCTTTTTGCTGTTACACCTCATCTTTCTTGTTCATCAAAGATCTTCTCTTTACTGGGAAAATATATACATGATAAATAGGCTACAGGAAAGTTTAAGTTGTGATGAAGTCATATTGTCTCTTTTCTTTAGAGGAACGCCTACACGAATATTCCCACACCACTCTGTAACTGAGTCTGCGAACTATGATGTGAAAACTTTTGGCTGTGCTCTTCCTGTTAAAGTCTTAGAAGTACTGACATTGGCTGAAGGTGGGTGTCCTTTTCCATTTGCTTCTATTAGCAATTCATATGGACCCTAGTTCTAGCAGGAGGTTGAAATTTGTGCTTTCTCTGATATGCCTTCACTTAAATGAGGAGAAAGAGGTAACCTATTTGGATTTTCACTTTAATTGAGACATAGGAGATATGATTAAACAATATTGTGAATGTTTAAATTTTAAAAAAATTTATTACAATAATAGACACATTGCCATTAATCCCCCTCAAAACACTCCCCCTTGCTTCAACACACTCAGCCCATCGTTCTTGCCTCTTTCTGAAGCAGTTCTGGAAGTCCTCTTTTATGAGTGTCTTTAGTTGTGCTGTCTTGGCTGCCTCAGTGTCCTGAATCAATTCAAAATGTTTACCTTTCATGGTCATTTTGACTTTGGGGAAGAGCCAGAAGTCGCACAGTGCCAGATCAAGCGAATAAGGTGGATGAGTATGTTTTTGTCTGACTAATGTTTTTGTCAGAAATTGCCATGTACCAGAAGTGATGTGTGACATGGAGCATGGTCATGATGAAGGATGATTTATGGCACACTTTAAAACACACCTTCTCTCAACCATAGCTCACACCTGACTGAATACACCAAACAAGTAAAAACTTTCCACATACTGTTACTAAGGTTCGACGCACCGCTTCCCATATTGAAGATCCTTTCCTTTCCATTGGATGGCATTCGGCAGCAGCATTTGTCAAATTTTGTGATCACAATGGAAAGGCTCCATGTCACACATTGCTTCTGGTACAGCAGTTTTTGTCAAATAAAAACATGATATGTCCTCATCCATCTTATTCACTGGATCTGGCACTGTGCGACGTCTGGCTCTTCCCCAAAGTCAAAATGACTATGAAAGGAAAATGTTTTGAATTGATTCAAGACATTGAGGCAGCCACGACAGTACAACTAAAGACACTCACAAAAGAATACTTCCAGAGCTGCTTCAGAAAGTGGCAAGAACAATAGGATAAGTGTGTTCAAAGCGAGGGGGAGTGTTTTGAGGGGGCTTAATGGCACTGTATCTTTTATTGTAATAAGTTTTGTTTTAAATTTAAACATTCACTGTATTTTTTTTATCATACCTTGTACAATGAATTTGAGAAGCAGAATGAGTTCATTCAAGCACAAATTAAATCTTTGATGGTTATTAGTACTGTATATGCAGCACTCCATTCAATTTCAAAAGTTAATTGAGTATATGAAGTTTAGCTTTTAAAATAACCCCAAAATCTAGTGCCTCACATTATTGGGTTTAATAGCACAGTACAATCAGGTCTTGGCCCTATTTCTGGGTTCTGTGCAGTGTCCCGGAGGCTGTGTGCACAATCCACAATGTTACGTGGTATGCATTTAGAACGTTCTGGATAGAGAGTGGAAGTTTGGAGGATGCTGTCAACACAAGCTTCAGAAAGGGGACATTAGGATGAGGGGCTGCGTGACAAGAAGAGTGCAGTTCAGAGCATCCTCAGTTATCTGTGTAAGTCATTTTAATTAAGGATTCAACTCTAGAGCTTTGTGATTTTCTGGAACATTGTTTTTCAAACTGCAGGTAGTGACTGAAGTCAGTTTAGTGATTTATAACCAGCATTTTTTAAAAAATGGACTCAAATAGAATATAGACTATCAGAGTGCACCTCATAGAATATAAGTAGCTCATTTAATTTACATTGTGTGCACATGTGTCATGACATAGAGTATATCTCACACTGAATGACAGAACTAAGTGTAAAGAGCTCCATTCTAGAAGAAGGCCCTTCCTCCCCCATCAGCTGGAACTCAGGCATCTTGCCTGTGAGTCCTTGGGGGCTTCAGGCGTGCTCTCGACACCCGAACTTCTGCTGACCTCTGCCGCACGTTGTCTCTGTTTAAAATATATGTAATACATGTTACGTTTCTTTCCCCTCTAAAAACATGTACAGTATATAGTAGATGTGAAAACCTTTAGCATACTCCTGGTTCATGCCTCCAGACTATGTTAGTAACACATCATACCCAGCCTCAGAAGAGAGCTCCTAGAAGCCAGGGTGTATAAACTGAAGTGCTGTGCAAACCTGAAGAACTTTTCCCCACACAGAAACCTGCCAAGTGCTGTGTGTTAAGTCACGGTCTGCAAGGGCTCCCCAGGAGAGGATTTGGAGGTGCTATAGTGCTTTCAGGAAAAATAAGAATATATCAGAGCAGATACTCACACTCAGCAAAAGCCCCCACGTGGCCTCAGCATGTTTTGACATTCTAGCTTGTGCGTTGTTCATGCCTTTTATTCTGTATCTTTACCCTGCCTTTAAGTAAAGAGCACGTCAAATTAATGAAGTTTCCTGGGTTGTTAACATATTTGTGAAGGTTTATCGCCAAAGCTTAAGGGAGCAATATGCTAATTTAGTTTCATCAGTATGGAATGTAACTTTGTATGTCTCCATATAATGAAGTAATTTATCATACTTTCAAAGAGCTCTTGTTTGAAAAGCATGTTCTTTTGAAGGAATGTGATTTTTCCTTAAAATGTTTTATGTATTTCATGACAGGTCATGTTATTTATGATGTTTTATCAAAATGAAATTATGAATGCTATTAAGTATTACAGAAAGTAAGCTATCTGTTTATAACAGAAACTAAGATATATTAAACCTAGGCCCAACATACACTTTTTGTCTTTAGATATATTTCTAAAAGTGGTTTTCAAGTTAAATGGATGTCTTCTATTGGATAGTGATAACTCTTGAAATAGTCAAGAGTATTTTTTGTTGTGAATCTATTTTATGAGTGATAATTTTTGTGGTGAAGAATGTAGCAGTAAAGATTTTGGTATAAGGAGATTTTAACAGTTGCTCTTGTTCATACTTTAACTGTGGACCTCGTGTTTTTCTTTGTGTGTGTATGTGTGTTTTTCTTTAGATGATGACATGCAGACTGTTCACATATATGAAGGTGGATGGGCTTGTCTGGTCTGCAAAGAGAAACTCATTATTTGGAAGATTGCTCTGTCACCTATTACGAAGGTGATGGCTCTTTGGAGAGGTGGAAGGAGAGAGAGGATGGGAAGCCAGTTAACTATAATCTTAATGAATTTTTAGGGTTGTTGGAGGACAGTAATTTGAACCTACTCAAGCATTATGGATTTGCATTTTCATAGTGACATGAAATACTGAGCGTGCGCACACATTTGTTTACTGGGAAGACGGTTTCTCCCCTTTAATGATTTTAAACAAGGTCCATGTTATTTGCACGTAATAAAATTAGAGACATTGAAATTTTAAATGAATGTCATGTTAATCGCTCTGCCTAATGAAGTCTAAGACTAAATGGCTGGGCTAAATTTATTTCTAAGAAGATAGGACTGTTTCACTGAATCTACTGACAGATGCTTAATAAAGAAGGAAAGAATGCTTCCAGTGTTTACAGTTGCTTGTTTAACTTTCAGTTGTCCATTTCTCACACAGAGGTTGTCATGTCTGGTGCCTTCTCCTTGGCGACCTCTTTCTTTGTCTGTTCCAGATCAGACATTCCCTCTTGCAGCACTCATTACTCACGGGGCCACTGTTCCATAGGGACTGAGGACTCCTGGTTCCCTAAACTTTTCATGCCTCCTGGCCTCTACTGCTGCCGCCTAGAAAATGGGATTCGTAGTTAGAAGCACAGCTGAGGGCACGATGATTCAGCAGAGGGAGCCTGATATTTGGCTGACTCTAAGAAATATTTTCTAGGCAACTTGGTATAATTACTCTAGTCATGCCGATTTTAAAGGTCAAATAAATCAAGACTAGACTGGGAAAATTCCATAGGAGCTTGTGCACTTCCCTTAACCAATGGATTGGGAAGAGATTGACTAGTTGATATTCAGGGTCCCTCTAGCTCTTAAGTTTTCCTGATTTTATATCTTGTAAGAATTTTTTTTTTAAATTACTGAAAGCCTGATCAAAAACATGTGAGAAGAAAGAATATTTATAGGATGATATTTCCAGCGGTGAATCAGAATGTAAACTAAGCAGAGAAAGGAAATAGAGAAGTCAGATGCATTTTCAAAAAATCAGCTTTGCTGTAAAGGTCTTTGTTTGGCTTTGTTCTACAGTTAGTTTGCAAAGAGCTTCAGCTGCCACCTAGTGATTTCCAGTGGAGTGCTGACTTGGTGGCCCTCTCTTACTCTGCCATCTCAGGTGACGCACATTCTACTCAGGTAGGTGACTTAATGCTTATTGAAATAAAGTGTTTTTCAAATGAGGGCGTTGGAGGAATCATCTGACCTAACTCTGAGACATAACTGTAAAGCTACAGGAATGGAGACCCTGTGGTGTTGGAAAGACAGGAACACACAGGGCAGTGAGACAGAACAGAGTCCACACAGAGGCCTACTCAGGTGGCCTGTGAGCTCTGACCGAGGGGCCAGAGCAACTCAGTGGTGGAAGGGTGGTCTTTTCAGTAAATGGTGCTGGAACCATTGGTCATCCTTTGCAAAAAAAAATGAATTTCCCTTTAAACCTCTACAGAGATCAGCTCAAAATGGATCATAAATCTAAATGTAAAACATAAAACTATAAAAATTTTAGGAGAAAATTATCATGACCTGGGATTAGGAGAAGAGTTCTTGTAAATCACCAAAAGCATGTTTCATAAAAGAGAAAAATGGATAGGTTGGACTTCATCAAAATTAAAAGCAATAGACTAGGAGAAAATACTGGTCAATCGTATGTCCAACAAAAACCAAAAAACTTATCCAGAACATAAGAAGTCTCAAAGCTGAACAAGAAAACCCAGTTTAAAACGGCAGAGGACTTGAGCAAATGCCTGGCCCGAGAGGACATGAGGGGGTCAGATAAGCACATGAAGAGATGCTCGCAGCACGTGCTGTTAGGGAAATACAACTCAGAACAACAACGAGGGACCGCTCACACCTCTTAACAACGCTGAGCTAGACTGCACTGACCCCGCGAGTGCCGGCACGGTAGGGAGCCACTGGAGCTCACACGCTCGCTCGGGGTGTCAGTGCTGTGGACTTAGCCTTGTGACCCAACAGTTCCCTTCCTGGCTATTGACCTTCGAGCGGTTAAAACAGGTTCACACAAAAGCAGTACGTGAATGTCATAGCAGCTTTATTTGTGATAGCTAGAGGTTGTCAATACATGTCCTTTAGCACGTAACTACAATAGATAACAAACTGGTTCACCCATAGGAAGGAAGCCCACTCAGCAGTAACAGGGATGGCTGAAGCGCACGCATTGTGTCGAGTGAGATAAGCCAGTGTCAGAGGTTACGTTCTACACGATTTCATGTGTTTGAGATTCTTGGAAAGAAAACTACGATGATGGGAACAGTGGTTGCCAGGCGTTAGGGTGGGGAGGCTGTGACTATAAAGGGATAGGTCTCGGGAGTTTTGAGGGCCAGTGGAACTGTTCTGCATCCTTACTGTGTGGTGGTAGTTACATGAGTCTATCTATACACATGTTACAAGTCATAGAATTGTACAGCCAAAGAGTTTTACTGTATGATCATTTTTAAAACAATGGAATTTTTATTTCTGATTTTTCTTAATCAAAGAGTAACTTTGACTTGAAACTGGTTTCTTTATATCAGTTTCATCAGACTCCCAGACTTCTGTTACTGTGATCGCTGACTGTTGTGCTCTTTTTTGAGGCGGTTGCTGTCATGGCTGCCACCAGAGAAGGTTCCATCCGCTATTGGCCAAGTCTTGCTGGTGAAGACGCCTACACAGAGACTTCTGTAGATTTTGGAGGTGATAAGACTTACAGTTTCCTGACTGCAGTGCAGGTATATCTGATAGATGCTCCTTCACATTTAGGGCACAGCTGTGATGTGGCCTGGAAATGGGATTTGAGCAGACCACACAGGCCAAGGAGGGATCAGCGAGAGATGGGAAGAACGTAAGAATCTGATTTGAGGAAGCCCTTCTCCTCTCGTGGGGCTCTAATACGAGCATTGGACAGTAGCTAGCAGTATTCACTTCTTTCAGGAACCTTTTACGAGGAACCTTTTAAAAACTCTTAGCCACTGTGAAGAATGGTTTGCTAACGTATACGCTGCAGGTTTCCCAAAGAAATAAAAGCTGTTGCTTGATCTGTTGAACCTGCAATATGGTGAATCTATAATTTGAAAATGAGAATTAAAAAAAATTTGCAATTGGAAACCAAACTACAAGAGGTTTTCTATGTAGACTTAATTATATTAAGGGAATAGATTCGTAAGTGAATTATTTTAATAAAATGACACTGCTTTGTAATTTTAGATTTAAGGTATAGATGATTTTTCTCTGTATCAAAGCATTTTGTGTTGATTGTCTTTGTCTGAGCCTTACATACTTAACTGGACTAACTGCATAATGTTTGGTCACAGGGAGGAAGTTTTATTTTGGCCTCCTCAGGAAGCCAGCTGCTTCGGCTGACACCTGAAAACTTAGGGAAGATCCGTCAACACGTTCTGCCTCAAGGGCAAGGCATGCTTTCAGGGATCAGCCGGAAGGTGTCTTCTCTTCTGGGAATCTCATCTCCTAATAGTGACCTCGTAGTAAGTGGATAAAATAACTTTGTTTTACAAGCTTGTTTCTGAGTGAAATCCATAAGTTGGAAGTTTCCTAGGAAGTTGGTATTTCCTCCCTACGTACGTAGTGTTCATGAAACAAAACCTTTGATCTTTTCAGTGAAACATTTTTGTTATGATCAAATGAGTTTATAAGAAGCCCCTCGCATTTTGCTTTCTAGATTTAGCCAAAAGTGTGTTCTCCATGACTCCAGCTAATCTGTGTGGGTCAGTCAGATCTAGGTCTGTTGGCTGGGCTTCTTCCCTGAGCTCGGGAATAGTGAAGGGGCAGTGCCGGTGCTGATGTTTACAGAGCATCCTCTCTGTCAGTGCCCCGTATTTGTTATCTCCTGTGATTTTGCGACCACCCATAATGGAAAGAGCTTCCTCTCCAATGGGCAGACGGCAAGATGGCTGCCCCGAGGCTATGTGAACTGCCGAGGTCACAGAACTACGTAGTCAGTGGCCGAGCCTGTTTGAATTGGATGCAGGACCTCTTTACAGAGCCATTTCCCTCTCCTCCGAACGTACTGTCATTGTCGGCTTCCTTTAATGAGCTTTGAACCTAAAATTGCACAAGTCCAAAAGCACGCTGCTCCGCTCCCCTCTCCTCCTATTGACTGCACAGTAACCTGCAGAACGCGGTGCTCTTTTACCTGTCTGTTTCTGTTCATGGGACTGTCACTGTTTTTAGTGACCCAGGTATAAAACCTGGATTTGAGGGCGGGGGAGGGGGGGGTCTCCCACTCCTGTAGCAGATTTGTTATGTACCAGATGCTGTCGATTTCACTTCTGTCATATCTCATTTCCAGCCCCCATCTTTCTGCTTCCACTCTCATGCCTTAATCTACACTCTGGGAACATTTCCCCTGAGCTCTTGGTGCCAGTCCAGTTCACTCACTGCTAACCCCTTCTATCCCATTTAGTGGCTGGAGTCACAGTGCAGGAGACTTGGAGACAATAAGGGTTTACCTCAGAACAGTCACTTTAACACACCTATACTTAAAAGGCGAAATAGCACATCCATGCGTAACCAACCACACACATGCCTGCCACATTCATTTTCCTGTAGCAGCTCTTGTCTTCAAAAGCCATTGCTCGTACCTCCCTTGCTTACTAGGTTTATAAACGCGCATTCAGGACCCACTGCTTTGTCCGTAGTTTTCCATTTGAACCTTATATTTGCTTTTCTGCTTGTAATCTGCATTCCAATTAATAGGACTGCTTCTCATTTTCTGCAGCCCCCTGAACTGTCCCAGCTCTGCTGCCCACAAGCCTCCGGCCTGTGTGTTTCTGCCGGAAATCCCACCTTGCTGCAAGGCCTGCTTCAGGGTCACTCCCTCCTTTGAGTTCTAAATGAAGGCTTCTGCTAGGGCTACTAATCAAAATAGATGGAGATTGAATTTGAGAAAAACAGTTCATTAACATTGGAACTGAATCTATAAACTTGACTTTTTTTTCCTCTCCATACAGCTTTCAAGTGTCCTTTGGGATCGAGAGAGATCAAGCTTTTATACCCTGACAAATGTGAACATCAGTAAATGGGAATTAGATGAGGGTTCAGAGAAACAAGCACTGAATTGGGAGATAAGCAGAGTCCTGAAGGAGAACATCACTGATGCCGTTTGGGTAAGGAGCAGTGACGTGCCCACGGCACATATGGCACATGAGGGTGAGGACGCTCCTGTGTTCACAAGAGCGTATTTCAGTGTCAGACACACACACAGAGTTTTAGCCATCCAATAACAGTCTCTTGACTTTGGAACTCACTGACTTACTTAAGTTTTAAAGTTCATGCCTTATTCATGCAGTGACTGAGCTACTGTGGATGAGGCACTTTGATGGGTGCTTGGGACACAAAGGTGAAAAATGATGCCTGTGCTCAGGAGCTTATGTTGCTGATGTCTTCACACAGGGATCTGAAAGTAACTACGAAGCCATTAAAGAAGAGGTCAACATCCGATATTTGGATTTGAACCAAAATTGGTAAGCAGTCTGTCATACAGGCAATCGTCTAGAGGAATCAGTTGATGTCTGTTATAAAATGATGAGCAGTCTTGCTGTTCTGATGCCAAGCTAATCACATTAACTTAATGCCTCACTAAATAGTTGTGTTCATTACCTGGAGGTACTAGTTCAGTTGAGTACAGACAGTTCTCAGTCTTCAGCAGAGTATTCTCACTCATACATGCGCCATCTGCCGCAGTCAGAGTCGCGTCCTGTCTGCTCTCAACAGCTGTGGCTTCTCTTCTCACCGCTAAGCGATGCCTTTCCCGCTGCCGTGGGTGCTCCGTGTTGTCATCTGTCTCATCTCGGGGGTGCCGCCCCGCTTCTCCAGCTTGTGTGGATGGCTGTACTGAGTAAAGGAAGGATGGGGCGAGGCTTGGTCTTGGAAGCACCAGCTAGCATTCAAGGCTGGCTCGCACTCAGTGAGTTTGCTCTTAGAAACGGTGTTCTAACCAGTTCCTAGGACCCCAGGTCAGTCTGATAAAGCTAACTTATCCCTTTATTGCTTAGCTTTAATACCAAAGGGGATTCGGAACTTAAAAACCATTTGTAACGTGCTTTCTGTGAGGAAGTTCAGAATGAATGCAAGTATCTGATTTGTAATCCTTGAAAACACAACTTACCAGAAGCTGAGGACTACTTTTAGGTGTTTTAGAGTAATTTATTTTCGTGGAATGAATTGTACTTATTTCTTGGAAGGATATTGCAGATCTGCTGTACAATTTTTCTCTCGTGGGCTATTGAGACTTATCAGTAGGATCCTTCTTTATAGTTTCTGAAAATCTATAAACTACCAAAGAAGTAAAATTAATAGTGCCTATTTAATTTCCATAAATAGTTTAAATACAGTTTACCTATTTTCACTGGACTTTCAGAAATTTTGAACCGCTGCTAGGACACAGCTCACTGTGGGTGCATGATGTGGACACTTGCTTGTTCAGCTTTCAGAACAGAGAAGACAGACGTGCTTAGGAAGCGCTCTGCTGGGTCAGAGCCAGGGCTGTTCTGCCCCTGTGTTGTCATGCCAGTGAGATCTTGATGGGGACTATGGGACACGTCACCCAGTGTCCTTCTTGACCCACTTCCCCACCTTTACTCCAACTTGTCTGGTCATCACTCTCATGTCCTCGAGGTCCAGTGACCCATACCGAGCGTTTCTTCTGAGACTGTTTGTCTTCCTGGTACTCATTCTGGCCACAGCTGCATCCTAGGCTTATATTTTCAGTCACCAGGCTTAGCAATTCTTTGACTGGATTATTACTGACACCAAGCTGATAGCTTCATTGCAGATGGAAAGTTTGGATTTTTAAAATCTTAAATGAATTATTTTATATATACTCCCATAAACATTTGTCAGATTTTTACTGGTTTGTACAATTGTGATTATCTTCCTAACATCTTTACCATCTATTAAATAGTTTCATGGTTTTTTAAACATGAAGTTTTTTATAAGATGTCAAATAAACCTGGTCCTAGCACTGCTCCCTCAGGAATCATAGCTGTCAGATGGGTCTCCTTTTATCTCATGGTGGCGCAGTCTTCAGAGGAACGTCAATGTGAAGGCTGACCGTAGGTGTGACCAAATGTGCCTCCCCATTTGGAACAGAGGGGCTCAGCACTGATTCTCTGGGACCTCACTCAGTTCCTCCTTATGTGTAATGTTCTTATGTGTCATCTGTTAGCTCTTTAGGTCACTGCCAGGATGTCACCAATTTGGGCCAGCTGGGGGAGAACAGTGGAGAAGGAAGCTGAGAGCCATGTTGGGAATGCTTGATTGGAAATGGCATGTTAGTTAGTCACTAACTTGATTTCTTATTTCTAGTTGTCAGTAGAAGGTGCCTGTCACCCTGTTAATATTTCTGAGACTTGAAGGAAAGTTGCTAATAATGCTACTAAATGTTTTGAAGGGCTAAGATTAGAGACTATTTAATTCATTTCATTCTTTGTGGGTACAACAACCCTGATAGACTTAAGAGGAATGTGGAAGCTAAGATGGAAAAAAGTTTATTTTTACATCTACAGCAGCTTGAAGTTTCTATAACTGAGTATTAAAATTAAAAACAACATGTTTTTATTCTGGAAAAAAGAAAGCTTTAAAGAACAGATTAGATTAGGGGTTGGCAACCTTTTCAGTGAAGGGCCCAAATTAACTTTTTTAGGCTTTGGAAGCCATGTGGTCTTCACTGTAGCTACTCTGCCCCACCACTGGCAACACAGTACCCACAGACAGTACACCGGTGGGCATGGCTGTAACTCGATAAAGCTTCATTCACAAAAACTTGCCTGGGCACAGTTTGGCCTCAGGGCTGTACTTTGCCAGATCCTGCAGTAGGTCATTTGTTGGTTTTTTATTAAAGTCAGATTTATTTAGTTATATTTTACATACAGTAAAATTCAATCATAAGGAAGAGAAAATACATTTACAGTACCGTATTTATCAATACCATAAATTTTTGTCTGAGGTTTTACAAATGCAGTTATTTAACTGTAACCATAATCAAGATATGAATGGTTCCCTCACCCCCCAAATTGCCTCGTGCCCCTTGGCAGTCTACCCCTCCTCCCACTTCCACCCCTGGCAGCCACTGATGTGTTTTCTGTCCCTAGAGTTTTGCCCTTTTCAGAAGGCCATATAAATGGGACTATACAATCTAGAACCTTTTGCGTCTTCCTTCTTTCGCTTAGCGTAATGCATTGGATATTTGTTCAGTAGTTTCTTCCTTTTTACTGCTTAGTCCATTGTATAGATTTATCAGAGTTTGTTTATCTGTTCAGCAGTTGGAGGATACTCGGTTGTTTCCACTTTGGGGCAGTTATCAGTAAAGGCCCTACAAACATTTACACATGAGTATTTGTGTAGACAGTTTTCATTTCTCTTGGGTAAATATCTAGGAGTGGGATTGCTGGGTTAGATTGTAAGTTTATGTTTACCTGCATAAGAAACCACCAGGCCATTTTCCAAAGAGACTGTAATCTTTCTTTTGCTTTGATTAGCGATGGGCTCCTAATTTTGGCAGCAGCGTGGCATCCAGCAGACACTCCGTGTCTCATCTATTACTCTCTGATAACAGTGGAAGATAATGGCTCCCAAATGTCAGATGCAATAACTGTAGAAGTCACTCAGTATAATCCACCTTTTCAGGTAAGATTTCTATCTAAGTTAAAACATACTGAGTTTTCTTGCCCTAACCATTGTGAGGTCAAAATCTTTGAGTGAGTCATCGACAGGGCTTCGGTATACTTTAAAATAGCTACTTTTTTTTTTTTAAGATTTTATTGGGGAATTAGAGGAGGGGAACAGCATTGGGGAATCGGTGAAGGGGAACAGACAAGTTGCTGTGTTTTGGTTCTTCAGCAGTGGAGGACGTCACTTCACTGGCCCATGTTGGTATTATGATCACTGTGCTCTTCCTGGCTGAGGCAGTTGGTCACCGGCCATTGGATGGCCACTTACGGTGGCTCAGGGCAACCCACTGCAGCCTACGCTGTTGCCGGCATTCACGGCAGCCCAGCCCCAGGTCAAGCTGTTATTCATCATCTTAGCTGTAGAGGGCAGTGTCACTGGCCCTCAATGTGGGATCCGAACCGCAGCCCTGCTGCTCAGAGCTGGTGCTCCCAAGCGAGCTCTTAACCAGCTGAGCCACTCGGCTGGCCCCTTGTTCACCATCTTAGCTGTAGAGGGCACAGCATCACTGGCCCATGTGGGAACCAAACCGGTGGCTCTGCTGCTCAGAGGTCACACTCTCAAGCCAACTCTTAATCAACTGAGCCACTCAGCCGGCCCTAAAATAGCTACTTTTTAGACACTGCATTTTTATTTGCCACAACGGACTTGTTCTTTGCTTGACCATAGCTCAAAAGAAATGAGAGTCTAAGCTACTGACAGCAAGCAGTTTGTTTCTTCTGCTCTAGCTCTATGAAGGGATTATCATTTCTATTGTTAAGTAGAAAGAAAATATTGATGAAGAACTGCAGAGTGCAAATAAGGAAGAAACCTGATAGGAATTGGGGTTCAGTTTTGAGCTTGTATAATACAGAAAAATTCCATTTCTGCTCAAAGTAGGATTATATTTGTAGGCATTATGCTCATCAAAGTTCATATAAATGATTAAAACAATTAAAAGATGTCTAATTTGAAGCCTGGTAGCAAGTAGACATATTGTTTAATAACTATGATCATGAGGAAAAATCTGATTATGCAAGAAAAGCATGCTTAGTGTTAAAATTTCAGACAGTGCAAATGGGTGTAAAGAATACAATTTCAGAATAAAAAACCATAGGATCCCACTTACAATGTTTTGTTGGTAAAATTTCTTTGTTAATAATAAACAGTATATCATTTTTAGCATTTGCTAATTTTATTTACAGTTGACCTTTGGAACAATGTGGGAATTGGGGGCATCATCCCCCGCTCTCTGCTCCTCTCCCCTATCCTAGTTGGAAAGTCACGTATGACTTTTGACTCCCAAAAACTGACTAGAAGCCTTACTCATCACAGAAATGGTTGATTAACACATACTTTGTATGTTATATGTATCATATACAGTGTGCTAATAAAGTAAGCTTCAGGAAAATGTTATTAAAATCATAAGGAAGAGAAAATACATTCACAGTACTGTATCAATATAGTAAATTTGTCATCAGTTCGCATGATGAATTGTCTGTCAGCACCTACAAAAATATTCTTATGTGATACAGAACACTGTAGATGTTACATGTATTACTAATGCTAGACATAAGGTGAAAAGATAATATGAAAAAGAAATTCGTATTTATTTACAGGTTTATGCATTGATAACAAAGAGGCAGCAATATGTTTGCTTTATGGCAGCCTAGTATTATACAGACGATTGCTTCACAGTAGTAAGGAAATCCACAAACATTTTCCAATATATTTATTGAAAAAAATCCACAAATAAGTGAACCCACACAGTTCCAACCTGTGTGATTCAAGGGTCAACTATAATTAGATCTTATTTCTGTCTCTGCTGATGATTTTATATATGAACAAATTTACTCAATTTTCTTGTGCTTGATGTGTTGATAGTGAAATCAGAACCATGATGTTTATCAGGGATCATTTATAAAGTTTTGAACAATTCAAAAATAAATAATACAATGAATTAATGCTTTTATTTTCTTTCTAACATTTAATAGGCTTCTAGTTAAAACCTTATCCCCATGTAAATGGTTTCAAAATGTGCTAATTATTTACAACTCAACAAATGAATTTCTCTAATTGATGCTTATAAACTGATTGTATCATATTTTGTCAGTCATCTCATGGATAGTGTTTAGGTTTTCATAAGGATGGTGAATTATTTTATCATTTTTATGAGATAGTGTACAAAATTGTGAATTATGAAATCACACAAATAAGCATTTTTGTTTCAGTTCTCATTAAATGTTATGTTAAATTGAATTTTCAGTCTGAAGACTCAGTTGCATGTCGGTTGATGGTCCCCGACTTTTCAGTGCGGACCGCCTGTCTGTACACCGAAAGCTCTGTCTATGTGTGCTCCACGGGGACCGGGAAGTTTTCCATCCCTCAGGAAAAGATTGTCTTTAACGCGCAAGGTATGGTGCCGGTTTTGGAAAGCAGGATCAGTGAGCTCTGTGGTCATTCTTTTCCCGTAAGTGTTGTTTCAAGCACAATACCGCCAGGTGTTAGAGGCATTTCGTACCATACCTATAGTAGCCAGAGTCACAGCCCTACTAAACAACCAGAGGGGTAGTAGAATTCCCAGACCGCTATATGTATGGGCAAAAAATATTAACATTTTCCCCAGCAGAGGCCAAGAAGAAAAGGACTGATGCTAAGAAGTAAATTGCTCATTCCTAGTTATGAGAGTGACTCACCCTGAGTTGTTCTTAAGAAAGTGTGTCCAGACCCCTGGGCAAGAAGAGTGTGAGCGGCTGACATCGGGGTCAGGGTAGGGAGAGCCACCAGGAGTGCGACAGAGCCACGCGATGGTTCAGTCAGGATGTTCACCTGAAGGGCTCGGCGGAGGGCTGGCTGGAACTAGATTTTCTAGTCCCAGCGTGAGAGCCCTACCTGGAGGGTGCGAGGGCATTAAGGCGCCGAGCAGGCTTAGACTTTCTCCCCCATCAGCTTTCTCAATAAGTCAAGACAGAATTGGGCAAGAGGACTCCATCAGATTGATTAAGCTGTTATTCTGAATTGTGTAGAATGAGTCATTTTATTTTTTTGCTCACTATGCTTGCTGCCATCTTGCAAGGTTAGTTTTTATTGTCCGAAATCTGAAGTACACAGAGCCTGCTATTTCCAATAGCAACAGGTTCTTGACATTTGACCTGGGATTAAGAAATGAAGTTCAAAGTAGGAGGAATATTGTAAAGGAAAAGAAAACATTCTTAGTGTATCAGGATGATTTTCTACTTAGGTTGGCAGATTTAAAAAGCATTGATTTGTTCTGTGTAATTGTGTGTTTTCCTTTCTTTTAGGAGATAGTATTTTAGGAGCTGGTTCCTGTGGTGGTGTTCCTATCCTTTTTTCTAGAAACAGTGGGTTGGTGTCTATTACTCCACGGGAAAACGTGTCCGTGTTAGCAGAAGACCTCGAAGATTCTTTAGCATCTTCTGTTGCTGGACCAAGCAATGAGGTAATGTGGTTCAGCATGATTTTACAGTTTTTATCACAGTTTTAAATGTCAGACTGTTTTAAAATGTTTTAAAAGTCAGACAGTTTTCAAAGAGTTGTGATGAAAACATTCGTTCTATTATCTCCCTCACCCACTTTGTCCTCTTTCCCAGAAGCAACTATTTTTGAGTCCTTTAGCTGTTTCTTCTGTTTTTTTTCCTCCATACTTCTAAATAATATGCATATATTGCTGTGTCCTAATTCACCAATTTTAGACATTTGTTGATCTCCTGTTACAGAAGATGAGGATTTGGGGTAACTTTATTCCTTTCTCTGCCTTGATTATCCCAGTATAAACTTATTTCCATTATGGTGACAATATGAATATTGTTTACAGCTCATTGAATCAAGTAATGGGCTGATTACATTTACTTTATTACACAACGTGTGTAATTAGACTCATTTTATATTTGCTTACATGTATCTGGCATAATCTTCCCACACCCGCAAGCAGCTCTGTAAATGCCTTTCAGTGTAGTTTTCCCCCGAGTCAAATCTCTAGGAACTCTACATGTCCTATCATCTTGGAGCTCTTCTCATTGGCCTCAGCTCCTTGTCAAGAGCTGTCCCTACACCACAGACAGAGGTCTCTGTGCCTTGTCATTTGCCGTTCCTTCTTCTGGTTTCCATCTTTTTGTGTTCTGGTTCGAGTCACAGATGTTTGGGTGGTTGTGTTTCTTGTTATTCTGGGGTGATTTTTGAGAGGGAGATTTTTGAGGGGGGTGAAAAATCGTCAAGTTTTTTTTCTGATATCTTGAAACCTAAACTCCCCTGATCCATAAAGTTTTTCTCATTCTTTTACAGGAGACTAAAAATAATACTGCTTGGGATAATTTTCATTTGAATAGTATGTGACGTATTTATATAGACTATTTCTCTAATTCAAAATTAAAGTGATTTGGTAGTTTCAACAAAAAGTAATGATTTTTTTTTCTTTTATTTTGTAATCACGTGGATTTGTGATACTGCTGCTGTTCTGAAGCAGTATTTCATTCCTACAGCATTCTTTAAAATTTTTTCAAATCCTTTTTACGCTTAGTAATATACATTGTGATGAGTTGTAGAAAAGCAAACCCATGAAAAGGTTGCACTGCTTATGATGAAACCCCCAAATCACTTCTTTCACAATATAATCCCTCAATTATATATACCTTTTTTGTAGGACTGTGGTTGTTCACCTGGTACATTTTATCTTGTTTTAGTGTTTTATGTATATAAGCCATTGGTATAGAGAGTATGGTAAACAGCTTGTGTACCTGTGTTGTTGCTGTCATAGGTGGGTCCAGGTTTTAGTCCAATAATTAAGAATTTGCTGATACCCTCACCTCTAAATTGTAGTTTGTTATTTTACAGAGTGTGATTTTTGAGAGCTCTACAAAGAATGAAGCCAGAGCCCAGGACGACAAAACCAAATCGCTAAAAGCAGCTTTTCTACAATATTGCAGGTATAATAATCAGTGATGGCTTCTTTTAAGTTTGAGGACACATTTACTGACGTATGCTCCTTATTTGTTGACTGACAGGAGAGGTTAGAGGAATGGTGCCATTCAGGGGAATACGTTTTTCTGAACTTCAGCACTTGAACAAACTGTTATTCTGAACTTGGTAGTCACAGGAGGGTACCGGCCAGGCTGGGGGGACATGGCGTACCCTGCCCTGTCCACTCCCATTCACAGTGGTGACCCTGAGGACAGCGTGACCTGGTACGCGTCATGTGAAGGCACGAGGTTGCATACAAGGTTTGTCGGTGCCGTGAAGGGCGTGGCCTTGGCCTGTTAGTGCGGTCTGCTGTGTAGACAGTCCCCATAGAACTTGGTGGCTTATGTAATTCTGCGGCCGGGCTGTTTGGGGTTGGTCTCAGATGACCATTTTTCTGGTCCCATGTGTGGCCAGCTGCCTGCTGTCCCTCCTAAACTTCCTCCCATTTGGGGGCCTGTGGCTGGTCAAGCCTGTTCGCACTGTGGCCTCTCCTCCTCCAGCAGCTCCCCTGGCCTTGTTCATGGATCAGGGTTCCAGAAAGGGCGAGAGGGGAAGCCTCAGTGCGCCCGCGCTCTCCTGGTCTCTGTGTGGGTCACATCTGCCCCTGCCCCACGGGCCAGAGCAAATCACAGGGGTGAGCCCCGTAGGAGGACACTCACAGGGAGTGGACGTGCGGAGGGGGGAGTAATTGTCACACCTGCTGACTAATTCTCGTGGTTTTAAGATGACTTCAGTCATTTCACTCTGTCCTAGACATGTGTTCTGCAGATCATGGATGCTGGTACCTACCTAGTGAGGTGCAGTAAGTTCATATTTGAATAAACAAACGCTCACAAAAATTGTGGTCCAGCCCTGCTCCGCCCCTAACTAGCTGCTGCATGAGACTCTGGACAGTTGCCCTAACTTTCCGAACTGCTGCTTCCTTTGGTAACAATGAGTGGGCAGAGCTGGGTATGTGAAGGGTCATTAGTTTCCCCAGCAGATCTACGTTTTGAAGAAATATTCAGGATTTACTACCTCCATGTCCCCAGTTCTCGGTTCCTGATACCCTAATCCCACTAGAGCACAGTGGCTCACTATCACAGGAGGGGTGGCAGTTAGACTCCCCAGAGCTGTCACCGCTTTAATAGTCTGTGGCCTGATGGTCTACTGAGTTTACTTTCTTATCCAGGAGACAGTGCCCTTAGACAAGGTCTTCGCTTCTGTGTTTGAATAGTAGTATTCTTTTTTTTTTTAAAGACTTTTATTGGGGAGTTGGGGGAGGGGAACAGACAAGTTGCTGTCCTTTTATTCTTTAGTCTAGTTGTGGAGGACGTTGATTCACTGTTCCATGTTGGTATTGTGATCATTGCGCTGTTTCCCAGATAAGGTAGTCAGTCACCGACCATTGGATGGCCACTCACGGCAGCTCATGCCGGCTGCTGGCCACTCACGCTGACTGCCGGCCGCACACGGTAGGTAGCTTTATAGCAGCCCACTGCAGCAGGGGCTGCAGCCTACGCCGTCGCCAGCGACTCACGGCAGCCCAGCTCCAGGTTGAGCTGCTGTTCACCATCTTAGCTGTAGAGGGCAGTGTCACTGGCCTTTATGCGGGTTCCGAACCGGGGCCTTGCTGCTCAGAGTTGACGTCCCAAGCCAGCTCTTAAGCAACGCGCCACTCAGCTGGCCCTGAATAGTATTTTTCAACCTCATTGTGTCGCTTGCTGTTCAGTCCAACTGCCAAGATTTGGGTTAAAATACCATGATTTTGTTTTGCACAGGTTTTCCTTTAATTAACAGTTCTTGTCAGATTGGTGGCATCTGAAAATTTAAATGCTAATGGAACAAGGCACTGTGGTCATTGTTGTCATTTCCTGTGGCTGCTGTAACAGGTTACAACAGACATTTATTCTGTCACAATTCTGGAGACCAGAACTCTGAAGTGAAGGTGGCAGCAGGGCCACACTCCCTGTGAAGACTCCAGGGACACTGCTCGCCTCTCTCCTGGCCTCTGGTGGTTGCTGGTAGTCTTTGGCATTACTTGGCTTGTGGACACATCATTCCAGTTGTCTCTGTTGTCACGTGGCCGTCTTCCCTGTATGTCTACCTTCACGTGTGCTTCTAATAATGACACCAGTCATTAGATTAGGACCCACTAATTCAGGGTGACCTCATCATTACCTGACTAATCACGTCTGCAAAGACCTTGTTTGCAAATGAGGTCACATCCTAAGGTTCTGGGGGACATGGGTTTTGAGGGGACAAGATTCAACTCAGTATAGTCATTTCTAAATGTTTTCTAGCAGAAGACGAAGCATGGAAAGGAATCCCTGACCTTTATTTAGTCCTGAGAGCATAGTAACCTTAGGGATGGTGTCACTGGGCCTGTAGCACAGCTGTGCTATTGACTTACCTGTTTAGCATGCTGGAAATACTGTGAGGTTGACAAGTAGTCATTTCTGGGGTAGTGTCAGCCAGTAGCCATGAGGAATTAGGATGGAATTGTGGTAGCTTAAGGCAGGATTTCTCAGCCTCGTCACTGTTGACATTTGAGGACAGATCATTTTTTGTTGTGGTGCCATCCTGTAGATTGTGGAGTATTGAGCAGCATCTCTGGCCTCCTCCCCCTTGATGCTAGTAGCATCCTTCCCCCCAACTTCTGACAACCAAAGTTGTCTTCAGACATGCTTTCCGGGGGTCAAAATCGGAAGGGAGCTCCCTGACATGCTGTCTGTTTAGTTTTGTGCTGAGGTAGTATTACTGTTTTTATAGCATTGTTTCTTTGAAATTAATTTTTGTATTTGGTTTTTATTTTACTTAACTAAATGTAAATATAAAATCTTCTGTTTATGAGAATTTAAGACACTAGTTCTGTTGATTGAAATAGTTAATTATTGATTGATCTTGCCGTAGTCAACTTTGTATCCTGTAACCTGTAGCTTCTACCCAGCCTTTCACACTTTTAAACAGTTTTTCTGTTACTCTAGTCAGCTTTCTCTCCTGTTCTGCCAAGAGACCATTGCAGCCCTGTCCTAATGTCCTCCACCTGCCATTTTCCTACCTCCTCGCCCTCTTCTCCCTCCTCAGCAGTTGACTGGGCCTCCTACTTCACAGAGATGATAGAGGCCCCAGAGCTCAGCGCCCCACCCCCACCCACCCCAGCACGGGGCTCCCTACAGACTTACCTGCCTCCTCCCCCACCCTGTGAACAATGCGCACCCATGTTTCTGGTCCAAACTTTCAGGGAAAAAAATCTTTCCTTTTAATTTGCTAATTCAGATTTTTGTTTACATTTAGGTACTTGTTTTTTGTATTGTAAAGGAATTTTAGCATTTATTTTTTAACATATCATGGTACAAGAAAGTCTCTGTAACAAATAACTACAAAATACAAGAACACATACCGGATATCGGAAATTTTACATACTGGTAACAAATTTATGATATTTATGCACCATAGAAGGCCAAGAACTCTTCGTTGTTGCAAATCCGTCATAAATTCAACAAAACCAATTATTGTATTCCAGGGTATTATTTTGCAAACGGATATCATTATTGATTTCTAGAGTTACATTTTTAACACATAAACATAAATAAAAGAATTAAAAACATTTATATAGATACGTAATTAGTACTACCCATGTATAATCTGCATCTTTATTTTTTCCTCACAAGTTTGGGCAAAAAAGTGTGCATTATACATGGCAAAATATGGTAGGAGGGAGTGTACCGTGTCTGTCCCCAAAGCCACTGTTTCCTGCTCCTCTACCCTACTCTCCAGTTCTTCCTCTCTGTCCTTGACCCTTGTGCTGGCTCCTCCTGGGACGTTGGTCATATTCAGTCTGCCATTTCTAAAAAGACAAGTCTGTGTCCCCCTTTGAGCTACCACTGCTGTCTTTGTTCCTGTTACAGCTAAGCTACTGGAAGGTTGTCTGGTGGGTGATTGGCTGTCACCCTCCAGATCCCTCTCTGCTCCCTGCTTGGTCTCTCCTTCTCCTTTGGCTCCATGCACTGTGGACACCAGGGCTCAGGCCACTCCGTACATGGAGGAGTGTTTAAAGACAGCTGCGTGTCCCACAGGCACCTGGGTCTTGCATGTCTAGCACTGTGCTTGTCTCCAAAGCTTTTCCTCCCACTTCTGCCCCATCCCAGCACCATGCCACCGTCCACACATGTGCTCAGAGCACAGCGGGGGTTGGGGGTTGGGGTGGTGTCATCCTCATTCGTCAGGTCCAGCCAGTTGCCAGTTACGTTGTATATCTGCGTATCTTCCTCCCACCTGTCTGCTTGTCCCATCCTTCCCACAGCCACTGCTGGCGCAGGCCATCTTCTCTTACTAGATTTTCATGGTGACTTCCTACCTGGCCTGTCCCCCCTCCTGTCTGATGCCCTCTTCTAATGCCCTCTTCGTGTCATAGTTACAGTGACCTTTTCGAAAACTTGCCGATGGTGACGTCTCCTCCCAGTGCCTGTCCACTGCAGTTTACGGGACATTGGTTCTCTGATGTGTGCCTCAGCCCTTTTATCGCAGCGCCCATCCTCCCCGGAGCTGCGCCTCACCCGCTGGCACTCGTCTGTACCCTGCCTGCCATCCTTTACCCCGGCTCACCTGCCTGCAGCTGGTGGTGTCCCCCTTCCACCCATGTGATCTCATATTCTCAGTGGCTCCAGTTCTCCCCTGAGATGCAGACACACATACTCACAGGCGCGGCACACGCTCCCGGTGCCGCTGCGCGCCCCTCGCACTTTCACCGCAGCCTTGCTACGCCTCTTCCCAGAAGTTTCCCTGCCCCGTTGTGGTTTCAGTCCCCCATTCTAAGTCTGCCATAGTGTGTGTGTAGTTGTTTGTGGATTGTCTGACTCTGGACACTGTCCACTTTGTGAAGTCTCAGACTGTTTTTAATGCCTTGTCATTCTGTCTCTGGTGCCTAGCACGTTGTAAGTATTCAACATACGAGGTATAATTAAAAGATACAGTGAATATTTAAATTAAAAAAATTATTATTACAGGGCCGGCTGAGTGGCACGTTGGTTAAGAGCTGGCTTGAGACGCCAGCCCTGAGCAGCAGGACACAGGTTCAGATCCCACATGAGGGCCAGTGGCACTGCCCTCTACAGCTAAGATGGTAAACAACAGCTCGGCCTGGAGCTGGGCTGCCATGAGTCACTGGCGACAGTGTAGGCTGCAGCCCCTGCTGCAGTGGGCTGCCATAAGCTACCGTGAGTGGCGGGCAGCTGGCGTGAGCTGCCAAGAGCTGCTGTGAGCGGCCGTCCAGTGACCGGCGACCAATCTGCCTCATTTGGGAAGAGCGCAATGATAATACCAATGTGGGCCAGTGAAGCGAAGTCCTCCACAACTAGACTGAAGAACAAAAGAACAGCAACTTGTCTGTTCCCCTTCCCCAATTCCCCAACGCTGTTCCCCTCCCCCTATTCCCCAATAAAATCTTTAAAAAAAAAAAATTATTACAGTAAAAGACACATTGCCACAGAACACTCCCCCTCACTTTGAACACACTTATCCCATCGTTCTTGCTTCTTTCTGAAGCAGTTCTGGAAGTCCTCTTTCGTGAGTGTCTTTACTTCATCCTCCATCATGACAATGTACCATGTTACACATCACTTCTAGTTAACGGCAATTTCTGTCAAGTAAAAACATTATGGTGTATCCTTATCTACCGGATCTGGCACCGTGCGATTTCTGGCTCTTCCCCAAAGTCAAAGTGATTCAGCACATGGAGGCAGCCACAACAGTGCAACTAAAGACACTCACTAAAGAGGACTTCCGGAACTGCTTCAGAAAGTGGCAAGAACCATGGGATGAGTGTGTTCAAAGCGAGGGGAGTATTTTGAGGGGGATTAATAGCAGTGTGTCTTTTACCATAATAAACTTTTTTTCATTTAAACATTTACTGTATTTTTTTAATCACATCTCATATGTTTGTTGAATATGAATGCATAAGAGTTGTCTCCCTGTTAAATAAATGTTACTAAAAATAATGAACTTTGGGCTAAAATATGGTACTTTAATTTCATAATTAACTTTTTCCTGGTGAGTGTTGAAAATGTTTTGCCTCCCTTAATACTTTGCTTCGCAATTTTATTTCAGAAAAGATTTAGGTCATGCCCAAATGACTGTTGACGAAGTGCTTTCCTCCCACACTGATCGCGACGCCGACAATGACCTTGATGGAGCCATTGTCCAAATCAGTGTGGAGCTCATGGACGACTACCCTGCTTCGGACCCGCGGTGGGTTGCGTCTGTCCCCGAGGGTGAGCACACACCAACTAACGTCATGCACGACCTGCTTTGTGAAGAGCATTTGGTGCTTTCATTAAAGCGTGTCAAAGCATCATTTTTAGATTCTGAAACAATTAACTATTAAGTCAGTATTTTTAAAAGGTTGTAGCTCTCCTTGTAGTAGATTTTGAAAAGGGCTCAGAACAGACACCGAGGGAAGGTTGGAGCAAATCCTACTTGTTCTGTTGCTCTGGCTGACGTAGAGGCATTAGCCCTTGTTGGCTGTCTCAGCATTTTATTTCTAAAAGCAACTGTAGTGTAGGTAGCATTTGGCACTTACTAGCCCCCAATTAAATGATAATTTTGGCTGATTGAAATTGTACATTTCCCTGAGAGCTGCAGCGCACACATCTCAGTGTGTAGGCCAGGTGTGTCACTGGCCTGATGCTTCCTGCCTCCCGTGACTGTCCCTCCTTTCCCTGCACCGTCGGGGCACTTGGCTCCCAAGTACCAGGGAACTGACTCAAACAGCCATTCGTCTCCCTACTTTCCTACTTAGCAAGTTTGCTAAGCCTCCTTAGGGATTTAGGAAGAAAACATCAGTGTTTACCTTGTTTCTTTGACTATTTTTTTTGAGCTGTCAAGCCTAGAATGATATAAATGATTAAACTACAATAGTAATAACATTTTATTTTCAATGAATATGGTATGAATTGTATCAAACTTCCAAAATCTTTCTCTTAAATTTTTTAAACTCTTGGGTAATGTTATAAATGATTGCATTGAAAGGTTGGTATTTCCCTTTTGCATAGTATTGTCTTAATTTTTCATTGTAATAGCAGTAATTGTAAAGCCAGTATATGTGTCTAAGTTTTGTTACTGTGTTTCAACAGAGCCACCTGGGTTTAGCAAAGCATCACTGCTTATTCTCCACCAGCTAGACGACAAGATGAAGGCCCATTCTCTCCTCATGGACTTTATTCACCACGTAAGCTTCCCCGTCACTGTGATTAGGGGTCCCAGGACGCTTAGCTCTGCTGTCCCTTTGTCAGCTCTTCCCAGGACACTTTCTCTCTTGTTCTGGGTGTTTCATTGCGAGGGGCATGGCTAGTGTTTTGCATTTTCTGTGCTGACTTAAAAGTAAGTCCAGGGCTGTGCGGAGGCCTATTACTTGAAGTATAAAAACTGCATTGAAAGTAAGATAAAAAGAAAAATAGTGTATTTCAACAGAAAGTGTTGTTTTAGCTTTTCTTGTAACATCCTATGATATCATGCTTTTTAGTCAGATTTCCTGTGTGCTTTTATGTAAAAGTTAGGTTTTTGTGAGTTGATTTTGTATTATTAGAAAGACAGTGTAAAGAATAATAAGGTGAGAAAAATAAGATTTTTATTTGTGGATTTTAAATTTTGAAGTGCCGTTAGAATCAAATTCTCGTTTAAAGTATTTTTTTTAAAGGGTATCCCTATTTTTAAAAATTACAGTTGACATTCAATATTATATTAGTTTCAGGTGTACAGCATAGGGATTAGACATTTATATACCTTAACGTGATTCCCCCAATTAGTCTAGTACCCTCCTGACACCATACATAGTTATTACAGTGTGATTGACTATATTGTAATACATTTTCTGTGCTGTACTTTACATCCCCGTGACTTTTTTTTTTTTTTTAAAGATTTTTTATTGGGGAATTGGGGGAGGGAACAGCATTGAGGAATTGAGGAAGGGGACAGACAAGTAGCTGTCCTTTTGTTCTTTAGTCTAGTTGTGGAGGACATTGCTTCACTGGCCCAAGTTGGCACCATCATTGCGCTCTTCCTGGGCGAGGCAGATCAGTCACCGGCTTCTGGACGGCCGCTCACGGCGGCTGCTGGCCGCTCACGCTGGCTGCTGGCTACACATGGTAGCCCATGGCAACCCACTGTAGCAGGGGCTGCAGCCTATGCAATCCTG